GTTTTGCCAAAATGGGTTCAAAAATGTCAATAATTAATTAAAAAATACAGTAGCTTTATAATTACTTATAACTTACCGAATTTGATGAACGACATCTTTTATTGGAAAGATGAGCTTGATGAGCTTTCATCATCGCTACTGCCTGAAGCACCAACGTCAATAATGAATGGCTCGACTTGTTCCTCTAAAATATTGTCCAGTTCCCACATTCTCTTTTCAACTTTGTCTTTCACGTGCTTAATACAGTTTTCCCATTTTTGCGCTGTTATTAATTCTAGTGCTTCTTTGAAAAGTCCTTTGAGGTCACAAAATTTAAAAGTTGTATTGTGCTTAGCTATACAGGGTTATCCAAATTAAGTGTCCACCATTAGTAACTTTGTTATTAGTGAAAATACAAAGTTGTTTGAATTAGCAAACTAGTAGCATTTTTAACGCTGGTAAAAATGAGAAATAAAAAAAAACAATTGAGAGTCGCTATTTTGATTTTTTTCAGTAAAATAACATTTTTTTAAATGGAAACCCCTGTATATTATATTTTTTTCTGTTAAAGCATCAAATTTTAAACAAAAAAGCTTACAATAACTTTTCTCCTAGGTTACAAATTGTTGAAGTTATGGCCTCCAATCTGAAACAATTAAATTGTATCGACAAACTTTATTTTCAACATCAACTTATAATCTTACAAAATACAATAACAATTTTTTTTAAAGAAGATGCTCGAAAACACCACCTTGTTCTTCAATACATTTTTGGGCACGTTTTTCAACTGCTCGAACTGTCTTAAGTATGGTCCTACCATCTATCTGGGTTATCTTTTCCCTAACTGCAGTCTTTAACGCGTCAAGGTTATCGTACCTTCGCTTGTAAATTTGGTTCTTTAAGTAACCCCACAAGAAGTAATCAAGTGGGTTTAGATCTGGTGATCTGGGAGGCCACTGTTTTGGGCCATTTGTTCCTATCCACTGATCATTAAAAGTAGTACTTAGAAAATGATAAGTACCTCTGGAGTTGTGGGCAGGTGCGCCATCTTGCTGAAAATGCAGATGATGTCTACTTATAAGATCCAATTCGTCTAAGAAATTAGTCAGAATTTCTGACATAAATTCCACATATCTTTCACCAGTTAGGGTTCCCTCATAAAAGAACGGGCCAACAATTTTTGAACCAATTATACCGCACCAAACGTTGAAACTGAAACGGACTTGTGGGCCTCTTGGATGTACTAACAAAAGATTTTCTCTTGACCAATAATGGTGGTTTTTTCTATTAAACATTCCAGAATTTGAAAAATTTGATTCATCTGTCCATAAAAGGTAACGAAAGTTATTTACATTTTGGCGACAGAAGCTAAGATACCAATGGCAAAAAACAAGTCTTCTCTCTGGATCCCCTGCCAAAAGCGTTTGAACTGGTCGGTACTTATACGGAATAAATTTGTATTTTTTTAAAATCCTTTGAACAGTACCATAACTGAAATTAGAGTCCTTGAGAATATCTGCTATTGAATTCTCACGGTAAGCTTCAAAATATCCAATAACTGCAATTTCCGTGGCCTCGCTTATTATGAATTCTTTTTTTGCCCTTGTTTTAGCAAAAACATTTTCGTTGCCCCTAAATTTTCGATAAAGTCTCAGAAAATATCGTTCATACGGTTGAATGCGAGCGGGATATAATTCACTCTTGCTCTCAAGGAGGATTTTCTGCACACTAAATAGCATTCTAACATATCACACTTTTCTTCATGGGAGAACATTTTTCTTTAAATTAATGACACAATAAAGCTTATAAACAAGTATTTACACTAATGTTTGACATTATTTGATTTTATCATTGTTTTCCAAAGCCTTCTAGTTGCGAGTATGTCCAGTTTAACAATTTGTCGCTTATCTTAATGCTGTCAAATCGCGAACGCAAATAATTAAAAATATTTATCGTTATTTTGAATTTATTTTTGACTTTAGCGGAAAAGTCATTATGAACTTTTTTGTTTAAAATTTGATGCTTTAACAGAAAAAAATATAATATACAGGGGTTTCCATTTAAAAAAATGTTATTTTACTGAAAAAAATCAAAATAACGACTCTCAATTGTTTTTTTTTAATTTCTCATCTTTACCAGCGTTAAAAATGCTACTAGTTTGCTAATTCAAACAACTTTGTATTTTCACTAATAACAAAGTTACTAATGGTGGACACTTAATTTGGATAACCCTGTATAATTTTTAACCTCTGCCCATATGAGCTCAATGGAATTGAGGTCGCAATGGTATGGAGGTAAACGGAGCACAGTTTTATTTTGACTTGCTGCCATTTCGTCAATGGCGTATTTTTGATATTCCGCCTTGCGATCCTTGACAATTCTTAATAATTGTACTTTCAGCATTGCTTCTTCAAAGTTGATATTTTTCGAGCGGAGCCAATTTTGAACATCAACTTTCCTTGAAGCCGTTGTTGGGACCTTCTCCATTCTTCGAGAATGATAAGGCGCATTATCCAACACAATTACTGCGTTTTCCTCTAAGTTCGGTAAAATTTTTGAAAACCACTGTTCAAACGATTCGCCATTCATTTCCTCGTGGTAATCTCCAGTTTTCTTAGACTCAAAGCACCACAGACCGTCAACAACAAATCCATCCTCACTGCCAATATGGCAGATAATGAGCCTTTTCCCTTTACCTGGAAATCGAAGTACTAACTGGTGTAGATTTATTTCAATAAGCGAACCTTTTTCAAATGTTTTCATCACATTCAGCGAAAAAACATTGAGACATGAGTATCATATTGCTATAATTGAGATTATTTAGTCATGTTGAAAGAAAGAATATTGAACGTCGTATGATTACTCAGCGCTTCACAATTTAATTTAAAGTTATAAACCTTTAAAAAATGAATGATCAGGAACCTGAAATACGGGCAAATATTAATATTAACAAATTATAACTTTATAAAGCTTAAAGTATGAATTAAAATGATTAGAAATATTAGGAACGGTACACAATATAAAACTTAGTAACTTTTTTTAAGTTTATAATATTCGACATATTTTAAGATTATATTAAAAAATTATTGAAATATCGAAAACACATAAAAACATGGCTTAAAAAAGTTTTAACAAAGAAAATGACAATAAAACATCCACGCATTTTATCGAAAGTTATAAAAGTTTTGTTACTTGTAATATGTTTTATCTGCCCCCTGGAATTAATGTTTAGAACCTTGTTCTCAAGGTTTGAAAAACATCCCATTGTTGTCTATTACTCGTATTTACCTGCTGGATTTTTTAATCCGGTGGACAGTCCATCTAGAAAGGCCCTCCTGGATGAAGTTACAGAATCATCAACCCATACTTTACTTGTAGTGTGTCCTGCGTTTACCCACGTTTCATCAAGGTAATAAATCTTCCTGTTTTGATTTCTATATTTCCCAATTTTTGTTAAATAATCCCTCCTCCATAGCACAATTTCTTCTCTATCCAGTAGTAAACTATTACGACCCCGTTTTTTCCATTTGAAATTTAAATGCTTCAGTAACGCATGGAAAGTTGATCGTTTGAAATTTGGCAACGTTGTATCTCCATTTACCTCCTGCAGTACTTTATCTATAGTAGGTATTTCATTCCTAAAGAAGAATTCATGCACTTTCCTCCTAATCGCATGCTTATCAGCTTCATCCAATGATTTAACAATACTTTTGCAATGTTTACTGGTCATTGGCTCAGAAAAGGTGTGATTTTTTTTGTATTGTCTTAACACATTAAACACTGATGCGCGACACACCCCAACTTTGTGAGAAACCTTCACAACAATTTCTTTGATGGTTGATGCCTCGTTCTTCTCGCGCTCGATCTTATATATATTCAAAATGACCTCTTTCATTTCTGTACTCAGGTGTCTTTTTTAGAGCGTTTCCTAGGTGGACTACAGGAGTTTACAACTTCATCGGCAGTATCTGTACTACTGGGCATTTTGCGCAAGCAGTTGATAACAATAACAATCAATAACAAGGTATAACAATAACAACGACAAACTCAACAACTTAATAAGATAACAAACGAAAACGTCCAAAGAAATATCAAATTGCAATGCTGCACACAACATACGTAACACGTCTGAACCTGAATGTGACTCTGCCTTGATACGACTGCTCTGCCGCTCGGCATAGGCATTTAATTGCGAATTGACCAATGAGGGCTCCTGTTTTACGTCGAGCCGGCGGCGTTAGCGTGAAAATCACACGAACCTTTTGTTTACATCCGGTCTATCTCTTATCTGAATATACTGTAAGAGTAAAACATAAGAAATCACCATTACTTGTAATACTATTTTTTCAGATCTACTTGCATTGCTCAAAGAAGATCCAATCCTGATAAGCCCAGGGTACAAGATATTGTTCCAAGACAATAACTCCAGACTCCAGTGTAATGAATGTTATTAGAGGGAAAAAAAGAAGAGTCAATGTAATTAAATTGGATATTTCAAGAAGTTTGATACCTAGAGTTAATTAACTTTCCAAAATGATCTAATGTTCCTCTCAAACTAGAAAGATTTCTTTGCAATTGATTAGATATCCTTTCAGCCCTGTTTACATGGCTTGTAATTTAGAAAATAGCATATAATCTAGTTAACGTCAAGGATAAAAAATTGATGAAATGTATATTTCTAGATATTTTTGAACGAATCTATTGTATTTCTGTGGGTATACAATGTAGAATAAAAAATATTTATTTTATCAAGTATTCTTTTATTTATATTCTGCAAGTACCAACTGGAAAATATGATACATAAAATTGTTAAGGAATTCATAGATCGTATGTCAAAATACCTAAGTATCAGTAATCAAATAAAGTCTTTATATCTAAAATGTACAAATAATAACAGGAAATATAAACAAATATATAGTCAAAAAAACATATCTAAAATGAAAAACTACAATAGTGTTTTGCATTAACTTTTTTAATGAAATCAAATTTACTTACAGAAAATATATAAGTTGTTTTGAATGTTAATATTTAAGAGGACAACTTTTGGTTCCATTTTAAGAAGAAAACTTTATATAATTGTATGTCCTAAACGTCTTTACTTTTGAGTAACAGGGTAGTAAGCTTTTTAAAGATCAATCATTTTTTTTTGTTACGATCTGTAATATCACTTCGACGTTCGTACCGATTTCACTTGCTTATTTTGACAGACAACGATAGTACGCAAATGATTTCTCTTAAAATAAAATTTTTTCATTGAAATCCCGTCATTCTAGGCAAATTTGATTGCTTAATTTTTGTTTACTCCGTTGCACGGTATTCGTTTACAAAAATAAAATCACGTTTCTTTGCATGATCCTAATATCGTTAGTGTGATAATGTCACTATGTCGAGAAATATGTATATTGTATTTTTCAGGTGAAAACCGTGCGTCAGACTAAAAGAGACTTCAATTTTTCATGTCCGACCCACTATTTCCACCCAAAAAATGTTCTGCATGGTGATATTATCATGTTAACAATATTGCTATGATCGGTTTTATAAAAACCGTGCATCATATTGAAAAAAAAACATTTCGCATCGATTTTTGCTTCGAAGTGATTGAAAATTTTAATAAGAGAGAAATAAACAGCATACCATCACTATCTATTAAGACAGGTAAAATTAAAAGAGTGCCTCTTGACACGTTTACATGTATGCCAAATTTCATTAAGTGGTAATACAGATATTCAGAATCAAGGATTTACTTTTTTGACCTTTTTTACCAACCTGTGTTTCGAAAATTAAAACATTTAGGATATACGAACATTGAAGTTTTCATCTTAAGATGGACCTGAAACCACCCCCTAGATATGGACTTTAAATTAGGAGACAAACTAAATTGCAGCTACCAATACTTCAAGAGGTGAATGCAGACTTTCGAGCCAAAGATTTCATATTTTTTTTACTGCAGCTATCATAACTAGCAAAACTGCTCTTCATATCAGTGTTTCAAATATCAAACCTGTTCAGTTTTTGATATTTCTTTCTCAAACAGTAAATGTTTGTCTTTCCTATGTCACAGTTTTAGTACACATTTTCTCTTTTATGTTAAGATTACAAGTCAATGAAAAAATTAGAACTGTATTTAGCTGTCCTCACTTTTTCTTCATATACCACATTCTACAACATTAATATATGGTGCAAGACATTTGATAAATACAACATATTGTTCTTTGAGGCTCAGTGAATTGATCTCCTTGTTCTTGATGATACCACTGAAGTATGCTCAGTAGCTGAAGGCTCCATTATTGATAGTGATTTAAATCCAAAATTTATAGCCAGCAGTTTGAATACAAATCAAATTCTGTACCTCAGAGCCAGGTTAGGTTAAGTTCATTTTTGCCTAAAATGAGTCTTCATGATAAAGTTGGGAGTTTTATTTTGATACTTGCAACATCTATCTACCTGTAATGATGAGTGAATTATGAATGCAATGAAACTATCTTAAAACTACCTATTAGGGCTTAACCCAGTCTGACTTTCAGGTAACTACAATTTTCAACATAATGGGTCTTTTCCGCTTATCTAGTTGTTTGAATTGTTTGGAGTTTGTTTAACAGGAAAGTAATTCCCTTGATGAGTCACAATCTTCTTTAATTTTCCCATTCGTAATTAATTATGGAATTGTCATAAAGTTTTTCTGATTTTGCTTCATGCTGCAACTCTATTCTTCTGTTTACTCTCTGTAACACTTCATTTTTGGTAATCCTACATGACCATGGCATTTTGAGCACTCTGAAATAGCGATAGTCAATAATAGTAATTATGATCTTCACATACACACATTATGCTTACTTTTACCTGACACTCTACACAATCTAGAGTCCCACAATGATTTGTCAAAAAGCATCTCTGACATCGACAATGCAATAATTGCACTTGCCATACAATGTTTCTTATCCATGGAGGAACCATCTCATAAAGTCTGTGAGAATGAATTACACCTGAAAATAATGCGATAAGTATATAATATGGATATGCAATGATTTGTTTTGTAACTTACCAACCTCCATCAAGAGAATAGCTTGGTTGTAAGCTTCTGGACTTTCATACACACACATATAATATATTATAATATAATATATTCATGTGTATTAATTTTCCTAACTCAACAATTTCTTGAAGATACCACAGGTTGAGGAATTTGTTCAATGTAGTGAGGTATTTTTGAGTGATCGATATTATTTGCAAGAAAATTATAAATTATGATTCTGCTTTCCATTGAACGTCAAAACAACAACATAACCTCAAGCCAGAACTGTCAGTATGTCGGAAATCAAAAGCAGGACATACATGTACGCTAACGAAGAAAACGTAATATTACCAAAATCAAGGTAGGGACGATACGGGCCTAAGAGGACCCATTCTGCGCTCTACTCTGTTATACGCACTTGTTCCAGGAGCATTGGTAGCTAAACACAATGCATCGAGATCATGTCGCTTAAAGTGTTGTATAGCAAACCCTATGACATCAACCGTCATTTTTACCACTGGTTTTACTAGTCCATGGTCAGTTTTAGCTAATGGTCGAAACTCTTCAAGTTAGAGAAGCGTCTCGAAATCCTGAGCATGAATATTAGCAGTAGATGACCTATGCTTTCCACTTCGAATAGTGATGTATGTTGGTCCAGAATATCTTGGAAGTGATTTTGATACCAGCATAAACAGATGGTATTAATTTATGACGCTCAGCGATTACCCAATCGTGATCAGGCAATTTGATTCTATATTCCATGTGCATTAGAAGAGGTGCTTGCTTATTTGCCGCAGTTACGCCAATAGGAACTCGAGCTTTATCATCTTGAGATATGAAAAATACTTGATCTGGTCCAAGTATGGACGCTATGTTCTCTAAATAATGGATTGATGTTTCAGCGAACTTGCTATCTAAGTGGCTCTTGTGGTGATCAGTTTGAGCCCGAATGAGCTTAACAGGGACTGTCATGCATGTCTTCGTACCTCTACAGAATTAGATTTTCTGGGAATCAAACGAAGACATGGCCCACTTCGACTAATGTCAAATCCTATTTTACGTAATTCTTGTGTGAGTTCATCAAGAGTTTTTATGCTGCGAATTGATTCCGTTCGTCTTCTATCATCTGGTGCACTCCCAAATAAAGCTATATCCGCGATTGTTGTCAATAGTGAATGTTGACTGCTTTCAAGATTAAGACGTCCCACTGAATCCCTCAGAGATAGTCTTTTTTTTTATTTCTGGATTTTCATGACAAATATCTTCTAACTTTCTTTTCATACCATCCCTGTGTTTCTTCTGGGCAACTGCGTTTTGAACCTTCCTGTTTAAAGACTGTTTTGCTGTTTTTATTTTCTCGCGCAACTTAATGATCTGTTTATCAACTTCAGCACGGCTTGGCATAGTATCTCTGGCAGAATACAACGCATTCAGATTTTTTCGAGTAGAGCAATCTTATTTTTCATAGCTTCCTGAGAGAAGGTTTTGCTCTCTGTTTATCTGTATTTTCATTAATTTCGCATTGCTGTTGTTATTCATTACCGGTTTTTATCTTCTTCCTCTTGTTTAATATTTGAAGCTGACTGAATAATTTGTGTTTTTATGCAGGTTTACAGGTTGCCTAAAAATAAAAACTTTCTATGGCTTCTGCTAAAGATTCTCTTATTAAGCTACATAAATACAAAATATGGCAATCATAAGAAATAAATCTATAATATAATGAATAACTTCCTCTATACTTTGAGATAGGCCATAATATTTTCTAATCAGTAAAGAGAAACTTTTTGGCGATTTCTAATATTTCTAGTACTCATAGGTACCTAAAATGATTTCGTCACTCACCTTAGCAAAAAAATTTAGTAGATTGGATTTATTCTTAGTCGCCGCTTGTAATTCTTCTTCGATTCTCTTAGATACAATAATATCTAGTTCCTTGTCGGATTTTGCTTGTAATTTGTAATTGTGCTACACTTCGTTAACTAACTTGTGTAAATTCTGTACTTTTGTACTTGTATCAGATTTTTTAAAACTTTCAAACAATTTTTGGTATAACTTGGATTTGTCCATGTGAAACGACATCTTATTTTAAACATTAAACTTTGGCTAATGGAATCAATGGAAACACAAATGTTAACTTGCTTTACTATGCTTACAATACGTCTACTCGCTATAGTATCCAAACGAAACAATACACTGATAGAGGAAATTTAGACAAGTGAACACCGTGCGGTAATTCGCCTACTCGGTTCTAGAGCGAGTAGGGGAATTACCGCGCGCTGTTCACTAAACGTATACATTATTTGCGGGAATCCCTGAAAATGCGTTTCGTTTTCAAGTAAAGACAATGTTTGAGGGTTGCCATTCTTGTAAAAAAGTAAATAACTACCGATGACTTAATCATCATCATCATCTAGACTCCCCTACCTCCCATGTCATCCAAAATAAGCAAAGCAAAGAACGTAATACTTGAACGGAACCTCATCAAAAAATTTTGGGGGCAGATACAATTTCACAAAAAGTTATCTCTTGATGATGATAAGCACCAGCAAAATTGCTGTGGGTATCAATGGATAATAATATTATTGTTCTAATAACAAAAGAAATCTGAAATTGTAGTAACATATCAACACAATTCAATTGTTTCCTAATTTTTGATTTATGCAGATGCCAACAAAGGCTGGGGAATGAAAACATCTGGACCATAATGATGTTAATACTGATTTGTTTGTAGAAAAATGTGTCGGATTTATATAATGAATATATATTTAGGGATTTGCAATATATATCTTTCTTTGGAACCTTACTAGATTAGTAAGTAGAGTGATCTTATAACAACTTCTGTTATTGACGTTGCTAGTTTAACATACAAAAAGCACTTTTTCGTCTACATAGCGCAAAATGTTAATAACACATGCTGTTATAAGATCTCCCATATCCCACCAAATTTCTATACAGGGTGACTTTGAAGTTGAGTCATTAATTTTCAGATAATGATTGTAGAAGGAAGATAAACCAAAATATGTGTGTAAAAATTAAAAAAAAAATTTACCTTGTTTTATAAAGTATCATCCCGACAAGTATTTCAGTGCGGACCTGTATTTGATCGTGCGGTCTTGGAGCACCGGCATGCCCTCCCCTGTGAGGTCTTAATCTTAAGTCACCTGATTCACGAGCCCTTTGTACTATTAACTAACTACTATTAACACAGGCACGAGGGGTTGGTTGCACTCGATTGGGAAACCGATTCGCATAAATCCGTGATGCCGTGGCAGCATTTTGTAAAGAATCCCCCCCGTAAATAAGAATCATGGCCACAAGTTCAGCATTCTCGTAAACATGTGCCATTTTTTATTTCGTTTGAGCCACGCAACAAACACCACTATTCACTCACGCGTTACCGACTGACACATTGACTGACATCGTGATAAACGTTTCAAATTCTTTCGCTTTTTTGTTTCCGATGCGATGAACCGATAAGGCGGATTATATCCGTTGTTGCCAAACACGAGCACATATTATTATTGAGATAGGGCGGTACTCAAACTTCTAAAGGGCTATAACTTTGTTAATTTAATTTTACCAGAAAAATGTTAAAGGAAACAACATTTCTTTTGATCAGATCTCACTGTTATGACTCAACTTCGAAGTCACCCTGTATATAAAAGTATAGCAATCTCAGATTTATTTGTAGAGTTGGCAGCGTTGCGGGATATTAATGCACCACCTGGCAACCATGTCGCACCCTCAAAAAATGTCCGCTGACAACCACACAAGTCACCGTGTTGCCAGTTGCCATTGAATAGCATAGAATTAAACCTTCTGCAGAGTATATGTTTTGTGAGTGTAATGTTTTGTGCGTGCAATCGTAATTCGTAATCAATTTTGTTAGTGAGAAATCGTAGTATTCTATAATCTGTAATTAGTGTGCAAAATAATTGCTTGAAGTTTAATTGTATTTAGGCTACATTGAAGTGTTCGTCAAGTTTGTTCTAACTTCTAAAAAGTAAGTAAGAAACCATGTGTATCTAGAATATCAGGCCGCCTGGGTCGCCATATTTGTTATTCATTTTTAAAAGGATGGACTTTTCAGTTATATATTTCTGATCATAGTCGCATATCATCAACCTCTTTTGTTTAATTGTTGCCCAGAGATGAACAAACATGAATACAATATCAGTTTGTTAGTTGAACCACTTATTATAGTGCTGAGGCACATATATTATGACTTCAAACAATTGATGACTGGTTCGTTGAGAAAACATATTTTTCACATACTATTGTTGTAAAACCCTGTCTCAATTAATTTAGTGGTTGTCCCTTAGACCCGTATCGTCAGTCGTTCCTACAATTGTAGGGCGCCTTTATGGCCTCCTTGATTGTCATAGTTTTCTACTTTTTCGTGTCAGCGCTCTATTTTGAGGTTGTGTCACAAATATCTATTTGCATTAAATTGTGCTTGCTTTTGAGTTATATCATGTTTCATCAGCCTGAAATTTCCTACAATTTAAAAAGAAAATATATCTTCACAATAGGAGAGCGCTGACGCTAACATGGGACAGGTGCAATCCAGAAATTTTTGAAGGGGAGAAAGGAGTATGACAATCAAGGAGGCCATAAACGCGCCCTACAATTGTAGGAACGACTGACGATGTTAAAGATGTTAAAAGTCGAAAACCTCAGAACCCCGGAGAAGCTAGACTATTTTTTTCTGGAATGCGTTTAAAATACTGTTTATGAAAGCTTATGTTATTTTTGTTCACTTATTTTACATCGTAGTTTCTGAAGTACAGGATGCTCAAGTGTATTTATTTCAACTTATTGGTGAATATAAATTATTTGGATTTTCAGTTTCAACTGAGAAAAATAGCTTATTTTGCCTTCATAGTCATTATGTCACAAGACTATAATATCGGACAGCTTTTTGCAGAAACGAACCTATCCATTAAATATGAAAAATCTAGATTTCAGGAAAATAATGTTTTACAAGCATATAAAATATAAATTGTTTTGTGTTATATTATATACACATATTTAAAGTCTTTAGAATGCCATTAATTGAAATAGTTTTTGGTGTAAAGTGATTTTGTTATCATTGTCAAAACTTTTAAACCCAATTGCTCAATAATTGTATTTCTGGGTTGGTTCCTTTCTGAAAAAAGCCATCCAATTATGATATGTGACACATATTTGACAGGCTCAGATAATATTATCTTTTTCGTTTTAAAAATCAAACTTTTCTCTTGACATTAAACAAACCAAAATATGACTGAAGCCCCAGTCAGTGAACAGACAGCAAAAGATAATAAATAATGTGGATTATGGTAATCATATTATGTTCAACTACTGGAATGAACGAATTTTCATAGCATCCCAATAATCGGCCACTTACATTTTCCCGGCATTTTTACACGAAACTGAAATAAAATTTCACATTTCCACTTCATTAATACATACCAAGAAAAAATAATCCTGTATATATATATATATATATAATATAATGAAAGACTTGTCTTTAGGGATATCGACAAATTAAGCAAAGTGTACCCTTCTGACTTACAAATACTCAAGCTTTCGACAGGCTATGCTGTCATCTTCAGGAGTTCGTCAATGAGAGTGGTGCTAGTGTTTGATGTTTTTAATTGTATTTGGGAACACATGGCTAGATGATAAAAAATTGGATTTACTCAGATCCTTTTTTAAAAACGGTGGAGAAGATAATTATGTTTTAATGGAAAAATATTGTTGATTGAATAAAATTCCTTAAAAACCTCACAAATTCACATCTTGGGCTAACCTAGAATTATTGGTGTGGTCGAGAGGTTAGAATTTATGTGTCAAATCTCATTGACGAACTCCTGAAGATGACAGCATAGCCTCTCGAAAGCTTGAGTATTTGTAAGTCAGAAGGGTACAAGCATATAAAATATAAATTGTTTTGTGTTATATTATATACACATATTTAAAGTCTTTAGAATGCCATTAATTGAAATAGTTTTTGGTGTAAAGTGATTTTGTTATCATTGTCAAAACTTTTAAACCCAATTGCTCAATAATTGTATTTCTGGGTTGGTTCCTTTCTGAAAAAAGCCATCCAATTATGATATGTGACACATATTTGACAGGCTCAGATAATATTATCTTTTTCGTTTTAAAAATCAAACTTTTCTCTTGGTACACTTTGCTTAATTTTTCGATATCCCCAAAGACAAGTCTTTTATTTAGCTAGTTATTATCGACAATAACTATGAATCGTATATATATATATATATAGTGAAGACAGGCTAAGGGCGACAGTCGAAGCTATGAGAAATGTTAGGAACTTGCTTGAAATATGTAAACATTATGGTAGTTCAAAGTTGAAAGTGAAGAACAGGATTAAAGGAAAAAATTAGTTTCTTATTCATTTTTACCTAGTTTGAATGTATTAAAATATCTATATTAAATATGGACTCAGTATGAGTGTGTTTAATTTCTTTTCCTCGAATTCTTAATGACAATTGATTTGAAATTTATATTCTACTATCACAAATTTTTACATACGGTTCTGTCTAAAACTGGCCAATCCAATGCTGTCCAACAATTGGAAACTAGCCGGCCGACTAGTAGCACCTTCTGTCCAAGTACTGGCAAAATAGCACCTTTTTACTTAATACTTTTTTTTTGTAAAATTACAGGAACATCTGTACGCAATGTATTTGTTGTCAGCAAAAAGTTATAGGATCACCTCTAAAAGCATTAGTTGTGTTATCTTGAACACAAAATTCATAATTACCCACCCTACTTCCATTCAGTTTACACCAAAAAAGGTAGTACAAGCTATTCAGTCTCTAAACCAAGATTCAAGTCACGGTTGTAACAAAATTCCATCAATATTTCCAAAAAATATGTGAATCCACTTTATGCAATACACTAACTAGCTGATGCTATAACTGAAGCTTTTGCAAAAGGAATTAATGTCGAAAGCCTGTCTTTACTCTCATGTAGTACCAGTATACAAAAAAGGTGATAGATATCTGCCAGAAAACTAAAGAATTATTAGCCATTCTCAATTGAAAATTGTAAACTCGTGGAAAAAATTCATGACGCAGGAACTCACAGAATTCTTATTTCAAAATTTCATACCAGACAGGCTTTTTACCTGGAATATCTGTAATTACCAACTTCCTATGAATTTGACAACACTCGCTGAGCGAAGATTATGAGTGGATGTTTGAAACATTCAAGATCATCAGTGGCTGCTACTCATGTACCCTTCAAATATGTTTCAGAATCTTCATCTCAGAGGGAATACCAAAAAATTAGAGAAAGAGAGAACATCAAAGTTGATACGGAAAAAATTCATTTCAAATCGTGTACTTTACTCGTGGAACTCTCTTAAGAGATTTTTTCGCGAAATCCCGTAGTGAACCGGAGCGAGAACAGATGGAATTTCCCCTTCCTCTCGAAGTTTTGTCAGTTTCAAGTTACACCGGGAGTGGTTAGATGGCACATGTTATGCAAAATGTTTGCTTTAAGCTCCTTGATGAAACCTAGCTGCCTTGCTTGAATCTGAAATGAAAAGACCGATCGTTTTTTGTTCAGTGTACATATATATATATATATATATATGTATATATATTCATTTGACATGACAAGTGCAGTTCATATATCTTCGACGACCTTCTCCTTCGTCATTTAAAATCAGGTGGACGTGTTCCTCCATTTGTGATTTAATAATTTAACTCAATTTTCCGCACTGCGGAGCCAAATTTTCAATTGAGATGTCTGTTTTTTAAATGACATTGACATAAGACCTGTCACCCGCTAGTAGCTCACAGACGTTAGACGGGTACCCGTAACACGTGATTTTTTGACATTCGGATGACGTCACATCCATCTTCCCCTATTCCCGTTCGTCGCGAAAATTTGAGTATCGGTTCCCGGTAGTGCACTGTGCTACAACGTGGAGCGTGGACTCGCGAAAAAATCCTTTTATTAAGAAACAGTGACTACAACAACTGTCATTCTATCCAAGAATAAGCAGTATGAGGAACTAGAAGACAGAGCAGCTCATTATGTTCACTATTCAGCATAAAAAAGAGGGGTCAAAAACGGGGGGTCCGAACTTGTTTTCGGAAAGCGACTGGTAGGGTATGATAGAGTAGGTTATATTGATTCCAGATTGCAAAAAACTTTTTGGCTTTTGGTTATTTTTACGAATTTCAAAATTTGCTATGTATAAACAAAAGGGGGGTCGGATACGGGGGGTTCCGGACTTGCTTTGGGAAAGCGGCTGGTTGGGTATGATATAGTAGGTTATATTGATGCCAGAACTGTAAAAACTTGGCCAAGACCATTTTGACGAATAATAGATTTTTTCAAATTTGCTATGTACGAATATAAACAAAGGGGGGTCGGAATTGGCAGGTTCAAGACTTGCTTTCGGAAAACGGAAAAGCGGGTATTTCTCTACTAACTGGAAAGTTGCCCATACAAAACTGTCCCAACCATAATATTCTTATAAATTAAGAGAATATAGAGATACATTGAGAGATACTAATTAAAGGCATATGCCGGTTCAAAAGCCCGCACACAACGCCATTTATTTTCAAATTATCGACGAATTTATAAAAAATTACGACAGGGGACTGTTATCTCATCCAAGGGAATGTTTATATGAGAGGAAAAAAATATTTTAATTGAATCTAAGCAATCGAACTATTTGTTTTTATTTATTTTAACTATACTAGAATAAAGTTTGGATATTTAGGAAAAAACAATTTCTAAAATTAATTTTCTTAATACTGTACAGCTTCTGAGCTAAGAAGCTTTATTTAACTTAACTAGTAACTCTTACAGTAACTATTACAGCTTACAACAAATCAGTCTTACTAATGCAGCTTAAGTAAATATTAAAATCAACCTATTTTGTACAGCTACTGTAAAGTAATAAAGTATAAAGCAGTCTTTTCCCTTTTGGAGTTAAATCTTGGTTTGGTAATTTTTCTAATATTTAGTCCAAAG